TAAACAGTTTGGTGTCAATGAAAAGAGTTCCGTTCGACCGGTTCGTTATCCTTTTAATAAAAACCTTACTTCAACAAAACAATAAAATTTATTTGGTACCTTAGGGCATTCGTCCCGTACATTTCATGTACATGTGTTTATCAACGTCTTTATATAGAAGCTGAAAAAGGAAATTTTCCTGTAAATGACAGTCATATCGTTTGAAAACGGCCCAAATCACAGATCAAAAAGAAGTAGTTGATCTGTGAATAATCCTCAATATAAAGGCTGAGGTGTTGAAGAAGGTTTTATATGAAAACATTCTTCTTCAACATATGAAACAGGTCCAAACGTCTACAAGGATTAGTGATTCATCTCAATCATATGTTGAGTTGTAGATGAATCACTTACCTGGGTCATTAGGGTTATTTGACTTGATATGCTACTGTAATTACTTTCTCGCCCTAACTTGTATAGACTGAAAGGTTCAAACAAAGTATAAGTAAACCTATATACATGCAAACTGGAAAATTCGTCCAAATAACACCTCGAGTGTTCACTATTGAGAACTCAAGGTGTAACAGAGTACTTAATCTTCAAATACTTCATGGATTTGACCTTTACTATAATGTATGTTCTTTGGATGGCTGCCTCCACCAGACAAAATCGTAAAATGGCCGTTCTAAGGATATATGTTGCAGGGTACATGAACGTCATAGAGGAATGAAAAACCCTTTCTATTCAGTTTAAAGAATCCATATTAGATTTTTCTATTCATGTATACAGCACACAGTGATACAGTGTTATTTACTTAATGATGATTCGAGTATAATCATAATAATATCAATGTAATCACACTACTTTCAACAGCTGCATTTTATAGTCTTATCGAGTACCTCATGTTCATAGTTTTTATTGGTAGTAAAATTTTCCATATCTCTGATACAGGTGTTGAATCATTTCTATCACGTGTATTGGGTGTTTATTCGACTAACAATGATTCAGTAATCATTTTCTCTCAATCTTCACCTAATTATATTGAACTTAAGTACAGTAGTTTTATCCCACCCATCTTATTGTTTGGTTGGGTGTTAGCCCAACCATTGAAATAACCCAGTGTTTTTCCAGATTACTAATGATATTGGGATCTGTCATTCTAGATTTTGCTAAATTTCTATATTCCGCTATTCATACTGACCCCGACTGGCTAGTTTGACCTATGTACTCAACCTCACAATCACTAAATGGAATCTGATAGATTAGGTACCCAGTTATCACTGACAGCGGATAGTTCCTCTATTTCCTCTTGAAGGTTTATCGTGTACTAATTGTTTCACTATATTTTTAGCACGATACTACATCGAAGTCGTAGATTAAACTTCACCTCCGAGTTTTACAGGGAACGGAAGAAGTTATCTCAGTTAGACTAGATCGTTATTCACTATGCTGACTTATTCAGGTTCCTAGCCGGCTGATAACAATTTTAAATGGATTAAGATCGAAAGCGCTGAAGAATGTTGTAGTGAAGAAAGCTTGAAAGAATGAAACCATCTTTATTCACTGAAATGTTTGTGTATTGAGGAATGGATTTGTGTACTACGAGTAAATTTTTTTTGATGCAAGGTTCACAAACGATGTTTTTATTTTGGTAATATTCTGAGCAAAATAAATTTACTTATGATAAATATTCAGTCATGTTTGAAAACGAATCTTGAAATAAACTATTGATGTATTCGGTAGTAAAATGGTTTTGATTAGATTATTTCTCGGATGTGATAGTTTGTATTGACGAATGAACAATCACTTCGATATGCTACCATTTGAAGTCATTGTAAAGATTTGTGGTTATTCATAAAAGCACTTCAAATATCATGAATTATTAGCCACTGCTATCGAATTCAGCAATCATTGTGACCTCTGAAAGCATCATCTAAGTGTGATGAGTTATTCTTGTGTATATGACAGTGATTGACCTTGAACTTCTTTAAATACTTATGTCTGTGTACTGATGGTTGGATTAGTTGTCAGGATGTAAGTACATCCTGTGTACTTTCTGAGGCTAGATAAAAACTCATCAACAACTGGTCGTTACAAACTCATTGCCTCGTTTAATAAATTTGTTTGTGATTTTTGGATATTGCAATTTTACTCTTCCCTTGTGAACCTGAAATACAAGTTGTTCTCAGTGCAACATTCTAAAAGGATTTGATAACAGCATAGTTATTTCTGTTGTATGCAACTGGTGACCATCGCAATAGAAGTATACAATGATAATTATTGATACCATGTACTACTGTAAACTGAAAGCCAATAATGAAATGAATCCTGACTGCTTCACTTCAACTATTCACAAAACCTTAAAAAGTGAGTACAGTTCTCAGAAGTTAATGAATATTTGCATTATGAGTTGTAAATCTTATCCAGGACGTTAAGAAAATATCTTAGAAACAATGAAAAATCTTTCAGTATATATCTTTTAGCATAACTAAGAAAAAATTACTGTGTACTTAGAAAGATATTTCTAGAAACGAGGGTAGCAACCACGTGATAAGTATTATAGTATTACTTGTTGCTTACCTGAGCAAATGAAGTGTCTGACAACTCTACTACAGAGTAACTCGAGTCCTCTCCATGCTTTCTTGGAATTATTCTGGTAGCGATAGCACGATACTTATATACCTCATTGGGCAGTGACTTAATAAGGTCAAGTAGGTTTCTAACACTTATCCGTTCATTATTTGTCAAGATTCAGTTTGGAAGAAGTCCTTGACCTTATTTTCATTCTCTCTAATACTCATCGTCATGTAAATGTAGTATAAAGAAAATCAATATTCCCTTCCAGATTAATTCAGTCTTATGGGTTAGCAAGATGCCCTGACAATAGGATTTATTTTGGCATATTATTATTACTGACTCGGTATATTCTTTATAAGAGAGATGACTTCACTCTGAAGACATTTTTCTCTTGGCTCCAAAATAATAATGACACTAAGTTTACTCAGACAACAAAGCAATGAGAAAAACATTTATCAGCTAAGTGTAGTTTCATATTGATTCAGCTCTACAGGTAGAAAATAACGAGTTAGTGAACGGAAAAGATCTGAAATGCACAACAAACCCTTTCTGATGGAATGTTGATACTTTTGTGAAAAGAAATCTGTCTTTCATCTTCACACTTTTCATCGAGTATATTGGTCAGATAAGTTATTAAATCAGTAAAGTGATACTTCGTCTGACAGAACATTTATTCAGTTCATATGGTTGCAAATCCTCTTTGGCCTTTCCTGTCGTACAAAGTGAATAAATCACTACTTGACAAAGGAACATCAGCTACTTCTTCGTTGTCTTTATATAGCAATTGGTACAGCTGGTAAATCTAGAAACCTACATTTGTTAATACTAATTTATTAGCCGCCTACTAACTTTCATAGTGCCTTACGTTGACTGTATTCTTTTGAACATTATATCACATCAAAGTCTTATTGTAATCACATTCTTCTATGTAGGTGATTATTTGAAATTATTACCAATTTCGGTTAATATGTCTATCTAGACTATTGTTCAGTGATGTGCAAATAATTATTCTGTCATTAAATTGATATTTTGATATTTTACTCAGTCACACCTTCTAACAGTCATCATTTAATCACATCATTAATCAAGCACTTTCTTACTCCAGCTTCGCCGCTATACAAATGCTTCAGTTATATTCATGAAAAAAGAATGTTACCATAATTACTTAATTCCAGAGTAATATCCTTTAGACGTCATAGTTATAAATCCATAAATATTCCTTTACAATTCTCGATAAAAATCCAGTGTTTCTGAACAGTAACATGAACAGTAGAAATATTCAACTGGAAGAGTAATCATCATGAATAAAAAATGATATGTAGGATATAACTAGAGGAGAGATTAGTCAAAGAGACTGAAATCAAAAAATTGTAGTAGTTATAATATTTACTAGAATCTGTACTTTAGGTTCCTAGTGAAACATAGAGCAGCATCGAGTGAGTGTAGGCAGCAGCTGTTGATGGTGTATGTCTGTAGTTTGTTGGAAATGCCTTTCGTAACGCGCCAAGTCTCTGAACCATCACATAGAAGCACTGACTTGAAATTGACTGAATAGGTGTTTAAAATCTGGATGTTGTTCACGCTTTCTGCTGAGTGCAGTGCAGTGTGAAGCAGTGGAGTGCAGTATATCTCCACACTGATTTCATATTAATGAAGGAAGACCTGTCTTGTCTTGATGTGTATTTCCGATGCTGGCTGGCTTTGACATCTTGATCTCTGCCTGCGCCGCCTGTATTTGAAACGGTGCTGCCTAGTTCGGTATGTAGGTGAAAGAGACAACTTCCTTTAGCTTTCTCCCGTCCATAGTGTTTGGTGCTTGTTGTTGGTTGGGTATCTTCATCACCTCCGTCTTATCTGTGTTCGCCTGAAGGAAGTTCCGTATTCCTTCCCTGCCTTGCCCTACCTCTTCTGTCAATTTGTTAGTTTCGGCCTGTAGATCTTCGAGTTTGTGTAACAAGACATTTGACATGAACCATCATGGACGAAATCAATATCTTCTTCTGGGGTCTTTTCACTGGTCAAACATTATGTGTCCATCTTCTCGCTCCTCACAGTTTCTTGCATGATCCAGTCCACCACATTCACGAAGATCATCGGTCACTTGACAATAATTATGTGATAAATGTTCGTAGTACGACTGCTCATATATTTCATTCATATGTGAACAAATCAGAAAAGGCTACCACAAAGTCAGCTGATTCCCTATGATGCCTGACGCCGTCTGCCCATGATTATTTTAAGCGACTAAGGTTAGCCAACCGGTAGAATGGTCTGTCAAGTGGTTACATCTTAGACCAATGAGTAAAATGAAAAATATACTGCGTATGAAGATGCATTAAAAAAAGCTAAATTTTGATTGGTTGACATACGAGACTTTTTATCACCAATCAGAATTACCATTTTACCTACATGAACACCATTTTTGTCATAAGAATAAACTGAGTGATGAACTGAAAAACGAATGATTTCACATCATGTTCTGTTTTTAAAATAAGTACAAGGACTTACATGGAATTTACATGTGGGGGTATTTGATTTACATATAAGATATTTTATCAAATCAGTACAGAAGTCAATATCTGATCTTGTATTCAATGTTCAAATGTGTTCAACAAAAGCTACCATCTTGTATTTCTGTTTATTCGAGTTAAATCAAGATAATTTAGTTGTTCTCTATATCACTTACTGTCTTTCTACACATGAAAATTAAATCTCATATTAAAGTTAGTTTGCATAAATTTAGATAATGAATGAAGAGAATTTAACTTATGTCACATTTTTACCATTATATGGAACTTGGCATATTTATCTAACAGTTATTATACTTGGTACAATCATAATTTGTACAGTGATTGGAAATATGTTCGTTGTTGTTGCTATATTGATTGACCGTCATCTACAAGTAGGTTTTAACAAGAAAATTGGTTTCATTTGAATGTACATATTTCATTATTTAATGTTTACTTAATATTTTTAAAAGTATTATAAGTACAGTTATACCGTGTGCATTTTTAAATTGGATGTGTTGAACACAAATTCATCAGTTGAACATTAACAATAAAATGTACAGTAGATTTACTCTGTTCAAAGTTTTATCACCTCTTCACCTTTTATGTATGCGCCGATATTAATTGAGTTCATATATGGTTCAGAGACTTGGCGCCTCACGAAAAGCATTTTCAACAAACTACAAATATTCATCAACAACTACCTACGCTCACTCGTTACTCAAGATCAGATGGTCAGGAAGAATAAGCAACAAGGAACTCGCTCTGACTTGGCAACTAACCAACAAAGCAACGACTTATCACTCAACAAATATGCAGAATGAAGTGGAGATGGAGATGGATTGGGCATGCACTGAGAAGACCATTCAGAGACATCACGTATCAGGCACTTGAGTGAAATCCAGATGGGAAACGACGAGTTGGGTGTCCGATGTGAGGGTGACATGGAGGAGGTAGTGTGAGGAAGAAATGAGAGGTTGTGGGTAGTGGTGGAGCCAGGTTGAAAAGATTGCAGAGAAGTGCAGAGTGGAATGGAGATGTGCTAGTGCAGGCGCATGTTCCACTAGGAACCCAAGGGATAAATAATTAGCATATATATTATTTAACATAAGTTTTTAGAGTCAGGAGATATTGTTTATTTGTTTTATGGTTATCTAGTTGATTGTTGGTTTGCAATTCTTCATCTTGACGGAACAAAGCTGCAAATGACTTTTGAGATTCCCCCCCTGTTCCCAGTGAAGTTCCCTTTGTCATCTTAACCTATAGCGCGTCAGCTACTATTGTAGTGGTTTTATGGCAGAAAATATAACAAAATGTTTCTGAAAATGTTATTGACTTATACAAGACTTCTTTGACAGATTTCAAAGAAAATAGTTTGAATGATGTACTTAAGAAACTGTGATTTAGACAGTGAAATATTCAAAATAAATCTTTTTTTAACTTCTTAAACGAGTTGAAATGATATCAAGATATATTTTCATAACTTTTTCCATCAAATGGTCAACTTAAATTCTTTTAGAATATTCGCAACAACTATGTTCTGAATATTTATAGTGATATAATCAATGTGTTTATGAAATCTATCTCACGATAAAACGAAGTTATCCACTGGGCATTATTCCTGAGATAATATTAATATCATAACCTCTCTCTTTCCTTATGATAACAGTAGTGGAATTTTTCTTTTACCTGGGACAGGTGCACAATCATTCTCATTACGTATATTTGGTGTCAATTTGTTAAACAACGATTTAGTTATGAATCTCTCCCTCAATTCACGTGTCTTAGTTAACTGTAAGTACTATCGACTTGTCACACCCTACTATGTGATTGCTAGCAACTAAATGAATAGCCTTATCCTAATTGGATCTACTAATCTTGATTTAACTAATTTACCCTGTTGGACTACTTTGATCTATGTATCTGACCACACAGTCATTGCGAAGAACTTATATAATTATTATTTATCCTTTAGGTTCCTAGTGGAACATAAGGCTTCAGTAGCACACCTCAATTGAAGTCTGCTCTCTGTAAACTTTTAAACCTGGCTCCACAACTGCTCATAAGCTTTCATTTCTTCCTCACATGATATCCACCGCATCACCCTCTCCTCGAAGGCCCAACTAGTCGTTTTCCCTTCCAATTACACTCGAGGGCCCGGTCTGACGCGTGATGTTTCCAGTCGACCTTCCTAGTGTATGCCCAATCCATCTCCACTGTCTTCTGCATATTTATTTAGCGATAAGAGCCATACCTTCTCATCTCTTAGGCAATCTGGACAGCCTTGCTAGGTCCATACATTGAGCAGGCATTCCATTTCCCCATCCTTACTTTCGCTTTCATCGTGAGAAGACATATTGGCTAATTGGTTTCGCGAAGGCTTTCACCAACCGACGTCATTTCGTCTCCCCGACTCCAGCATGCAATAAGTTTATTTTTATTATTTTGTATTTTCCTTGTGCTGTGAAGTCTGTTTAGCGGTTGGATTGGTTTTTTGGGGTAGGGTTGGTAGCCGTATGCCCAACCTTCCCTGTTTATCCGGGCTTTGGACTAGCTAGTAACCAAATTATTTTGCCTAATTGGGTCAGTAGTATCTTTCATCCTTCAAAGCTTGTTTCTAAGCGAGTTTGTTGGTTTAAATGCCTCTCTAAATAAACTCAGTCTCATCGAGAAATCTTCGTAACGCTCCCAAAGTGCCTTCTTTGTATGGTAACACGCAGTGGCTTTGAATTCTCTCTCAACTCCGTCACTATTATTACCATCATTATTACTATTAGTAGTAGAATTTTTATTAATAACACATGTACCACTACTGTCAATATTTTTCTTTCGATTTCTTATGAATTTATTGAGAAATTTAAGTGAGTAATTATTGCGATGCTAAGTATTCATGATTTGTCTAATTTCTTATCATGGATTTTCCGGCCTAAGCTTTTTCGTCCTGCTACCTAGGCATTCATTCAAATAAGCCTACTTAGAATGAGATGGAGTGAGATAATTTGAAGTCCAAGCAGTAATTCGAATGAGAAGCTTTTCTATGGACTCTGGTTTTTAAACTTCCATTTTTTTTGTTCAGTTTCGTAATCGAACATTGTTAACTCAGCGTTATTCCTTTCTAGGTCATAAGCAAATTCGATCGAGTTCACTGCTGAATTTATATGTGTAAAGAACCTATTCATATGCTCCGATTACAGCATATATTGTACGTAAACCATATCCTTGCAGTAGTACTCAATGTTTCAAGGGCTGCGTGTTCCCAACTATCTATAAGTATCTCTGCGCCTACAGGGGATATCCATGTTCCCATCTGATGAGCAAAATGAAACGGAAGTATAAGCTGTTACAGTCCACGAATTCCACTCATATAAATTGACGTGGTATTTAGTTGGTTTACAAGGAGAAAAAATAATTCACTTACTGAGAGTTACTGAAATTCAAGTAGTTTTTCTTGGATAAAAGGTTTCCAATGAGATAGAGATATGGTATCAATGTAATTACACAAACTTCTGGTATACTTTGTTTAGTTTCATTGTTTTTCATTAGTTGATTGAATTGGTAATACAAGTTTCCATACATCCGATATTAGTACTGAGTCATTTCGATTACATGGATTAAACGTTGGATTGGTGAACAGAGATTCAGTGTTCAACCTATCTCTACTCTTGACTAAGTTGGTCTTCAGCGAACTCTGTTCCACTTTATTGTATGGTTGTGCGTTATAACATTTATAGCTATGCCTGAATTCTTCTCCTTCTTAATGGGTTCTGTCTATCTAAACTTAGCTTGGTTTCTGCGTTCATTTAAATTGACTGAAACCGTTTGGTTAGACTTACCTGTGTACTTGATGTCATAGTGTCTGCATAACATTTGGTAAGTTAAATTATTTTGTCTAACCAGAGATTATAATCCTTAAGCCAATAAATTTTGTCTTTCAGTTAGATTAAATATTTGAAAAACACCCTAATCCCAGCTTTGTTAAGAAGTCTACGTTGGGTTTCTGATGTCATTTTCGTATATAGCAGCATTACAGAATTCTTCAGTTCGTTCTTGTTTTTATGTATTCTTATGTGTTTCTGACTAATGTAATATGCAGTTACATTGTACTAGTGTTAAATCCTTCCGGTTGTTAACGACTCTACAACTGAGAATTAATCTACCAAGAGTGGAATCATGTTAATTACTGTTGCATTCGTACTGTACCAATGGCTGTCATAAATGACAAGTCTTATAAGTAAATTGTCATGTGACCGACCTACAGTTGACGAAGGTATATATGAAATTAGAAATTTAAAAATATGAATTTTCTGAAGAAGTTACATCAATCGATCTCCATTTTTTTCATCACTGGAAAATGTTTTCACTACTGATACTTAGTTTAACAGACAGACTCTAGGGAAAATCATCACTGACCTGTGAATTAGGTTGAGTGATTATCAGCTTAATACTTAGAAACGCTAATCTGTGGATACTTCTTATGATAAGCTATCAGGATAACGAGTTTCTCTAAGTGTGTATTCAACATTTCACCAATAATGTTATTACTTGTAATTCCTTGCTATTGACTGCACTGAATTAACCGGTGACTATTAGACCGGAACAGGCTGAATTCAGGAAGAATAAATTATATGCGGATATAAATTGCAATCCTACGCCATGTATCATCGTAGAACAGAGCGTAGAATGGTAGTCAACTCTCTAATTCAATCTCTTCGATCTTGAAAAAGCCTTCGACAGCTCCGACCGAGAAGTAATTTGTCAGACAGCTGCTTCAACAATACTCAATGCCACAAACATTTATGAATCTTATTCAAAAGCTATACAAAGACGGCACATGCTAAGTGATCGACAATGGAAAGCTCGGTGACGCCGTCGAAGTGAAAACAGGAGTAAGACAAGACTGTCTACTATCACCGATGACCTCCCTGATTATGATCGACTGGATCATGTAGCCAACCTTGAGGAGCTGTGAGAATATGGGCATACGCTGTTTGACCGATGAAAAGACCCTAGAAGATTTGTATTTGCCCGACTATTTATGTCTAATGTCACACAAACTCGAAGATCTATAGGTAAAAACCAACAAGTTGACAGAAGAAGCAGGGCGGTGAAGGCGGAACTTTAAGTGAATGTCAAGAAGACACAGGTGATGAAGATACCTAACCAATAACAGCTTCAACAACAAGAGGCACCAACCACCATCAACGGTAGAAATCTCGTTGTCTCGTTCACCAACCTGAGTACGCAGCGTCCTTTCAACTACAGGCAGCACAGACAAGGATGTCAAAAGCAGGATCGGAAACACAGTAAGACAGGCCTTCCTTTCAATTATCTGAAATCAGTGTAGAGATCTACTGCACCACACTACAGTGCACTCATCATAAAGCATGAACAACAT